TATGAAAATAAAAATAAAAACTCATAGTTTTGATAAATTGAAACAGGATGTGAGAAAAGGACAAGAATCAAGGGTGATTCCTAAATTTTTGATTTGAGAAACTGAGTAAATGATGGAATTGTTTACAGAGTTGGAGAACACTAGAGGAAGAAAGGTTTGAGAGAAAAATGAAGAGTTCTTTCTTTTCCATGTTAAGAAGCCTTTTTGATATTTAAGAATAGAGGTCACGTAGGTATTTAAACAACCCTGCAGTTCAGGACCAAGGTTAGCCTCAAAGGTATTTAAAACCGTGAATGAAGGTATTATTTCAGGAGACTAAGAGGCAAATGCTATTGAGCAACTGAGTGAGATGAGGACTGAGCATTATTAACCAGGGATCTGGAAACAGATAAATAACCTTGACAAGAGTGAAATGGTGGGTGCAAAACTATTTGAATAGAGATAGAAACAATGAGAAGTAAAGAAATAGAGAATCAGGAGCTTTTCTACAAAAAAAAAGAAAAAGAAAATAGGGTGGAGCTTCAAAAGAACATGGATTCCATCTGAAATAAGCCATTAGTAATGGAAAGATTGATGATGCAAGAGAACATGGACAACAAATAAGAAGCCTTAAGCCTTTAAGTCATTTAGGGAAACAGGGCAAGGTTCAAGTGGAAAAACAGGCCTTTCACCCTCTGTAATAGAAAGGCAACACATATGGGTAGTTTGGTAGACATGATGATGGAACAGCAGAAAGCCGGATCTAAGGTTAGGATTCTGTCAGGCAAGTACCACAGAGGGAAAGAAGATAAGGGAGCTGAGATGTATGCAAAAAAGCAATTGTATTCATGAAGCATGGACTTCAAGCTAGAAAAAGGAGGGGGGGAAAGGACACAGTGAGTACAGTGAAAAGTGGAAGGATTAATAGAGAGGAGGAGCCAATGGAGTAAAAAAAAAATTACTTTGAGGAATAAGGAAACCAGGTAAGTAGATAGTAGCCAGTATTTACAAAAAAAAAAAAAGAAAAAAGGCAAGTGGAGCAATTATATGCATAAGAGTTTAAGGTTTGACCATGGGAGGAGATTCCCAACGTTGAGGGGGAGGGTGGGTCTAAAAGCTGAAGGATCAAATGTTACATTATCCATGCGAACATCCTAAACATGATGACAGGAATTAGGAAAAGCAGTGAGTCAGGTACAAATGAGGAGGTATAACTGGAAGGTAAGGACAGATTGGGAGGGGATAGCAATCTGATGGTATGTATTTCAGAAGAGCTGGGGTTTTGAGCAAGGAAGAAATGGACTGAAGCAGCAAATGGGAGAAAATGGGTTCTAACTGGGGGGTTGAACAAACATTACTTAAGGATTATAAGGAATAGTCAGGTAGGGCAAGAAAGTGAACATAATTTTATTTTCAACTATCTGTCTCTATTTGATGCTAATAAACTATCAACTCCAGAAGGCAAATTGGAAGGGTTAGGGCAGGCGGCATTGAAAGGTTGGAAGACTGCATGAAGTTGGATATACACAAAGCCAAAGGAGAATAAAATTTCCCAGCAGTAATGCCAACCTGGCAATTTTGAATACAAATAAGCAAACACCTTTTGCATAAGCGTCATAAGATCAGCTCAGTATCTTTCCAATAATTTCCCTTTCTGCTTAAGTTAGCAACTAAGAAATTCTAATGATAATTACCTTCAGGTAGAAGGCCTTGCATGACTAAATAAAAAGTGTACCTGAAGAGGAATAGGGCTGGGAAAGGGTACCTTCACTTTTATACTTTATTCATTTCTCTATTATTTCAAATATTCTTCAACAAGTTTGCATTTCTTTTTTTTATATATATTTTTATTGATTTCGAGAGAAAGGGAGAAGGAGAGAGAGACAGAAACATCAATGATGAGAGAGAATCAGTGACTGGCTGCCTCCTGCATGCCCCATACTGGGGATCAAGCCGGCAACCTGGGCATGTGCCCCTGACCAGAATCGAACCCAGGACCCTTCAGTCCACAGACCAACACTCTATCCATTGAGCCAAACCAACTAGGGCTCACAAGGCTGTCTTGATGATATATATATATTTCAGTACCAAATGACTAGAAGAGATTTAATCCTATTTCCACCTCCACCCCACCTCTTCAAGTCCCAAGACAGCAGTACCGGTCAATGGCGATAGAGACTTCTTTTAAATAATCCCAGTCAAGGGGAAATTTAAAAATCTTATGCATGCTCCTCACTATTAGACATCTTCCTTATATTAAGCTAAAACCTACCTCTGTGAGTTTGACCTGTTGGTCTAAGTTTGGTTACAAAGAACGCCACAGAACAAGCTTCTCTACTCTTCTAGAATCAGTGTACTGTCTTCAAGTATACGAAGACAGCTATCGGTCTGTCCTTTGGGGAATGGGTGCTGTACCTATATAAATTTCCCAATAAAACATCTGTCATTATCCATCATCTAATTTCAGTGAAGTCCTGACAAACTGCTTGGCAGAGAAGGAGAAGGGGAACTAATGCAGATCTCCTACAAAATAATGAGGTACAAGTAATCAATTGTAACTAAAATCCTTTAAGGAGAGTTACAGAAGATCATGCAGCTATTACTCTTTCTTTGTTAGATGTCACTGAATCCAATAGCTTTCTGAAATAAAGCATAAGAATGAAGACAGGGTCAGATGCTTCCGACAAAATTTTGGCTTTAGATAGCGGCATCTAACTGGCTCAAGAACTTGCTATAAATGCAACCAATTATTAGTCCTCCATTAGACAGATGAACAATCAACCTAATGATCTTGCCTCAGTAAAATATTTCTTGCTGTTTTTGCCAGTATCTCCAATAACAAAACACCTGGTGTTTCTACCAATGGACAAATGAGGCTTTCTCACAATTTTTAAAAAATCTTTTTAAATAAATATTTTCATTGAGTTTTAGAGAGGGAGTGAGAGGGGGAGAAACATCGACAGATTGCCTCCTGCACACCCCCTACACCCCCTACTGGGATAGAGCCCGAAACCTGGGCATGTGCTCTAACCAGGAATCAAACCAGCAACCTTTTTTTTTAAAAAAATATATTTTATTGATTTTTTACAGAGAGGAAGGGAGAGAGACAGAGAGCCAGAAACATCGATGAGAGAGAAACATCGATCAGCTGCCTCCTGCACATCTCCCACTGGGGATGTGCCCGCAACCCAGGTACATGACCTTGACCGGAACCGAACCTGGGACCTTTCAGTCCGCAGGCCCACGCTCTATCCACCCAGCCAAACCGGTTTCGGCAAACCAGCAACCTTTTGGTGCACAGGTAGATGCCCAATAAACTGAGCCGCACGAGCCAGGGCACTTCCTCACAATTTAAAAGAAGCAAAGAAATGAATAATAAAAGTGATAAACAAAATAAAACTTAGTGATTAAACTTGAGACTCATGAAAAGGTTTAAGACCATAATGCCACAGCTGTTAGATAACACCAAGAAACAGACAATGAGAAGTGTAAGAAGTCTACAAAGAACTGATAGCATAAGAAGTACAAGTTCAAGAAGCCTTGTACTTATAAGTACAAGAAGCACAGTACGGTACACAGTGGCTAAATACTTATTAAAACTGCCTTATCATCTGATGAAAAACAATCAGAATTGCTTGTGCCAAAACTTACAGTAAGAATATAGGACCAGACAGTCATTTATTAGGAATAACACAGCCTTTTATTTAGATTTACCTAATGTTAACACACAAACTTGAGAAAATTTTCCCAAATGTTGCTTCAGCTTCTCCCCCCCGCCGCCCCCCCCCCCCAATCTGAACCTAAGGAAAAGAAGAGGTCCTTTGAGCACCTAATTGCAAATATCCCTCTTTATTCTTCTTTACTGAACTGTCTTCCCCCTCATCAGAATGTATTACAATTCATAACTATACATCTTTGTGCTTGCTTATTGTCCAATGACCCAGGAAACTATAAGCAAAATCAACTCTTTTAAACATTGTATGCACAGGGCCTTGTACATGGAATGTACTCATTAAATATCTGTAGTTAGTGAAGACAGAAAGAGAAAAGGAAAAGGGGACCCCAAGTTACTATAATCAGTTTGCTTCCAACATTAATTTCAATGTTGAGAAATTAATCACTTGTTGGACACTTATGATCTAGACCTTTTTTTATACATCATTTAATTTAGCCTCACAACAATCCTGCCAGGTTTCTCATTTGAAACTAAAGTAAGGCTCAGAGAAACTAAATATTAAAATAATTTACTTGAGCTGCACACCTAGTAAATTTGAACTCCAGATAATGTGAATATCAGGTTCATCTGATATTGAAGGTGGCCCCCAAGATGCCCTTGTCTCCAATGATCTCCTCTCCATACAGCTATGGAGAAGTTGGAGGGGGAGACACCTACAGCAAATTAGGAGCTTTATAAAACCCAAGACCTGTGGCTATGGAGACAGTCTTAATTTTCTTTAAGGTTGCAGAAATCCTGCTCAAGAAGTAAATGAGTTATAAAAAGCAAAACAAGCATTTTTACATTACTCAAACAATTCGATCCTCAAACTACCTTTACAAGAGACGTATGTTAGTGAAAGCACTGGGGCTGAGAACGTTTAATCCTTCCCATTCCCCCTACAAACACACGGACGTGGGGTTTTCCAAAAACAAACAATTGCTGCATAAAGTTGGCACAACATTTTAGGAGACGCTCGTGCCACAATCCTCATTTTCCTACTGTAAATATGTGATCCAGATGGGAGCTCAATTTACCCAGTTGCATTTTAAGTTTGATGAGGGACCCATTCACTCTTTGTGCAATTAGTCAAGTGCTGACTGCCAAATACATTCATGAGGAGACAACGCATCCAGGTCAAAGAAAGGGTGTGGGAACATCATTTCAGAAAGGGCTGCACTGCAGCCAAAACTAACTCTGGGCTGCGGTCCACGCTCGCCCTCGCCAGCTCCTCTCACTTCCTCTTTCCCCTCCACTGAACCATTCCTTCCTGGAGTCAGATCTAATGCTACAGGCAGGGTCCTACCTTGGTCTGAACAGTCTTATCAAACTTGTCATTTTTGAAGCTAAACGTGTTTTGATGTCTCTGAGGCCTGGAACGGGCCACGTTGCCTCTCTGGGAGCTCATCGCCGAAATCACAATCACCAAACGCTGGGAGCAGGGAGATTCAAGAAGCCACGAACTACCTCGTGGAGAAGACGCCTGTCACTGACCCGGAAGGAACTGATTTAGCTTTCTCGCCCCGCCCCCGTCAGTCCACGTGACGTCGCGCGGAGGTCAAAGGACATCCTCGGTCCCTCGGCAACTTGAAGGCTCTTCCTCGAGGTCAAGACTCGATCCCTCCGCTCACCCTCTCTCTCCAACTCCGCAGATACATCCCGCTTTCTTCGAAGCGACAATTCCCCCATTGGTCCGAACGTGGATGTCCATCAAGGCGGAGGGGCGGGGAACTTTTGATTCCATTGGCCCTTCTTTTCCGCAATCCCCGCCTCCTGCCGACTCAGCTCAGCCTCTCCTGGCGCCCGACTCCGCTCGGCGGCTTGTGATTGGTGGAAATCGGGTTAAACTGGACTGCGTCCCTCCCCCTGCCTGCTCGGAGGCTGGAGCCCGGGTCAGTTTTGGCATCTTCATCCCGTCAGTGACCAAGTCCTGGCTTAGTGAGTCTTTTGCTGGTGCCCCTCGGTTCCCTTCCCGCCTCCCTCCCGCCACGAGGGCGAGCCCAGCGGCTGGCAGGCTGAACAGGAGCAAGAAGGGAGGATCAAGGAGAAGAAACACCTGGCTGGGTCTGGGTGGCGTCTGCAGTGCCAGAAAGGGCGGTGGTGGCGGCGGCGGCGGCGGCAGCTGCGACCACGGCCGCTCGGGACCTGAGGGCCGACCGAGAGCAACCGGCGGCGGCGGCAGCTCCAGCGCCTCGCGCCGGGGCCGTTAGTCAGCAGAACGCGAGCCCGCGTGGAGGAGCAGGGCCGGCGCGAGGAGGCGAGGAGGGAGCGCGAGCGGGCCCTCTCGGGCGCTGCCGCCTTTCTTGGTCCCGTCGCCGGCACCGCAGCCCTCGTCCCTTCTGCTCGGCCGGTCCCGCCCGCAGGCCGGGAGAGTCCGGCGGCGGCGGCATCGCGGAGCGCGCCCCGTGGAGGACAGCGCGTCGGCAGAGGTTCTCTCCCGGCCCTTTCAGCCCGACACCTTGACTGCGGCCCCTCCGGTGCAGGTGCGTGAGGCGGCGGGGGGGCTGGGCGGCTGCGGCCGGGCGTGGGGAGGGGGCGCTGGGCCCGGAGCCGCAGCGCGGGCGGGTCGAGGCGAGCCGTGGCCCGGCAGGGGGAGGGGAGCGAGATGCGTCTTTGTTGTTGGGAGACCGGGATCCCACTCGGCGCGGGGAAAGGCGGGGGAGCCCCTCCCGATTTGGGGGAGGGTTCTCCAGGAGGCTCGGGGGAAGGGAGGGGGAGAGGAGGGTCCGAGTGGTGGGCGAGGCGGCGGGAATCGGGGGGCCCGGGCGAGACCGACCCGGGGGTGGGAAAGGTCTGAGGTCCCCCTGGCCGAGAAGGTCTCCTTTCCCCGCCTTTGCGTTTCTAGCCGCGGACGGAGAGATGAGGCCAGGTTCGCGGTGAGATTCGCGGAGCCCGAAGGCTTTCTCCCCAGTGTCCTCGCGTGTCAGCCTCGGTGTGAGATCGAACCTGCCGGGTCCCCGGGGGGTTGCGAATTGCGGCCGGGCCGCGGGGTTCCTGTTCTCGAGGCGGGTGACCCGGAGTCTTGCCTGTTTGCGAACTCGGGGGTGGAGTGGGGAGGAATTTTGCATCGGAAAATTGGAGTTGATGTTTGGGTTGTTTTGCTTTTTAATCCTGAAACGAAAGTTCTTTTCAAGTTAGATTGTATTGTTGTGAAGGGCTTTTTGTAAAGAGAATTTAACCCAGCTTCTTGTTTAAAACAAAAATGTTCATGATGGTCTAGGCTAGGGTGAAATTTCTGGCAATGCCAGAGCATAGTTTATTTTAGACGATGCTTTGTTGTAAGTCGGTGTTAGGTGGATTTGGTAAGCCAAGGGATGTATAACGGGATACAGGGAGGATGGTCTTTAAATTTTGGATGTGTATGAAAAGATGTTACTTTTTAATACTTGATCCACAAGATGAGTCATTGATTTTTAAGGCTCCAATTAATAAAATGAATTTTGAATATCTTCTGCCAGCATTTGAAGCCTACTGGGTCTGAGTAAAAGTCAGGTACCTGTTGTAATAGTATTCATCTGTTTAACAGGAAGACTTAAAAGGAAATGAACTCTTCTCCATAAAGAGTTTGTCTCTTTATATATTTATAGCATAAATGGGTGATATGTCTAATATCTAATAATTACCAGTGTTTTGATAGTTATCATAATTGCAGTGTTCTAGTTGGGTACTGCCAACTCTTTGCTTGTTGGTAAATTTCTATTTTTGGAGTAGGGGTAGTGGGTTACTTGAACAGTGGAGATAGCCACGTTTCCACTAATAAAAAATATAAAATCCCTGTTGTGTAATAATTGCTATGTTTTTTTGAGATCCAGGAGGAAATGAATAACACCCTCATCCATATGTTGACCTCTCTTTTCTCTTACTGTAGTATTAATAAGGTTAATTGGCAAGGATGGGATTAGATTTTTACCAGGCAAGTCAGTTCTAATTTTGTCCCTCACTGTATGGTACTGTAGGTAAGTGGCTTGTTTTCTTGAGTATTTTTGCCCATTTTGAAATGTGCATGAAATAACATCTGACAAAGAATTTTCTGTATCCCTGTGACAAAATAATTTTTTGGTTGCCTAATGGACACAGAAGAACTAGGCAATTAGTGTCTGTTCCAAGTTCTGTCACTGAATTGGTCTACAGGCCAGCTATCCCACATCTGAGTCAGTTTCTTCATTTGTAATATAAGGCTAATAAAACATGCCACCTGCTCACTTTATAGTAAGGGCAATAAGAATCAACAGTTACTCTGGTGTGTGACAGATTGTTTCATTTAAATAGTACTTTTTAGTGCAGTTCTTATTTTGTTTTGATGCTATGAATTTCAATTTCTTGGTGAAGAATTGGCATAAAGTAGTTATATTAGGGGGAATGCCTATCTATATGCACTTAGGAATTTATACTAGTAGACATAAAGTTTCTTCCATGTTAAGATTGGTTATATCTTTAGACTCAGTGATGACAAGAAAAGAGAGTGGCAAATTAACTTGGTTGGTTTATTTGCTGATAGATTTTATTTGTAATATATCCAAAAATTTGTTCTTCATGCTCAAAAATTATGCCTGCCTTTCCTACCCTGTTAAAAATTTTTCACGTACATTGCTCTGTATGCCTCTCAACCAGCTTTGTGAGTTAGAGGGGAAAAGCGATGTCATATACAGGTGGAATAAAGCCCAGAGTACTTAATTATTCAAATTGCCTAAAGCTACACAATTTGTAAGATGCAGAATTGAGACCTGGAGCTGAGTTTTCTGACATCTATTCCTAAATCCTTTCCTCAGGAGCAGTGTTTTTCAAACACTTGGCTGGCCCAACAGTTTTTGCCAATTCAGGTGAAATGACAAATAATATAGCAATATAAGTATTGGCTGGCAACACACAATATAATGAATATCCATGCATCCATTACCAATTTGAAGAAATAAAACTGCAAAACAAAATGAAGCTTTCTCATAGTACTTTATATACCTCCTACACCCTTTCCTCATTCCTCACCACTGACCCAAAATTGATACGCAGCCATCCTATCCATGTTTATACTTTACTTCCTACCTTTACATCCATGAACATTATATAGTTTTTCTTTGTTTTAAGACTATTCAGATATGATGATTGTATCTCTAGTTTCACTCAATTTGCTAAAATTTATTTGTGTTTATTCAGGTAGTTTTAGTTTCTTTATTTGTACTGCAATATGGTATGTGTTCCATTATGTGATTATATCAAGTTTTTGTTGGTTATTTTCGTTTTTGCACTTGTTTGCTTATTAAACAGTCTTGTGGGGAATATTCTTTTATATATTTACTTAGGGCAGTGGTTCTTGACCTTATATCTCATTTTTATAGACATGTTTTGTAACTTCCCCAATACCAGGTGTACAGGTAATAATGCGGATTTTGTAATCAAAGAAAACACGATAATCTTAAGAGAAACATCAAAAGTGCTTTATTCAAAGTAATGTCCATCACTAGCTACACATTTCCTCCATCTTTCAGGTAATTTGTGGAAACTGTCCCAATAGAACTTTTCTTGTTTTGAGGTAAACTATTCAGAGACCCAATTTTCCACTTCTTCGTACGTTTTGAAGTGCTCCTCAGAAAATGCGTGTGCCATCTATCGGAACAAGTGGTAATCTGAAAGAGCCATGTCTGGAGGATACGGTGGGTGGGTTAATGCTTCCCAGGCAAGATCTTTTAATGTGTCTTTAACTGATTTTGAAGTGTGTGATGGTGCATTATCATGAAGCAAAATTACTTTGCCATGTCTTCTGGCCCATTCTGGTCGTTTCACGATCAAAGCATGGTTCAAATTGATTATTTGTTGTCGGTAGCGATCAGTATTAACGGTTTCACCTGGTTTTAGAAGCGCATAATACACCACACCTTCCTGATCCTACCAAACGCAGAGCATTGTCTTCTTTCCCAAGTGATTTGGCCTTGCAGTCGATGTTGATGGTTGACCTGGATCAACCCATGATTTTGTGCGTTTGGGATTCTCAAAATAAATCCACTTTTCATCACCAGTCACAGTTGGATGCAAAAAAGACTTTCGTGCCATTGAAGCAACATGTTACTGATGACTACAATTTTCCATTTGTCTTTCGATCAGTTCATGTGGCACCCATTTTCCTTCCTTTAAAATCTTTCCCATTGCTTGTAAACGATTAGAAATTGTTTGCTGAGCAATGTTTAATCTTTCTGCAAGTTGTTTTTGAGTGTGACTCGCATCTTCATCCAACAATGCTTGTAATTGTTGGTCTTCAAACTTTTTCGGTTGACCTGGACTTTCTTTGTCTTTCACATCGAAATCATCACTTTTAAATCGTTTAAACCAGCGTTCACACGTATCTTGAGATGGAGCATGTTCACCATAAGCTTCCCGAAGTATACAATAACTTTCAGCAGCACTTTTCTTCAAAATAAAGTAACGAATTAAAACTTCCCGCAAATGCTCTTTTTTGGGCACAAAATTCGACATTTTTAAGCGTAAAAATATCTATGATGTTAACACCTTCAGAAAATTTGACATATGAAGTTTTGAAGTTTGTCAATACAACAAAATAGCATGCATATCAAATCGCATATATATCAACATATGTGTAACTCCATAAAAAATCAGCATTAATAACCAGTACACCTGGTACTGTGCTAAAAAGAAATTCATAATAACAGCCTTACTTCATATTTTAAGGAAAGTAATGCCCTTACTAAAATATAAAAAGTAATTTATAACAAAGTAATACATTTTGCTCTGTAAATGCTGGGGCTCAACCACACTCAATCTTTCTACCAAGTGTGATAGTAGATCAGTAACATCAGAATTCTGGGAGCTTGTTAGAAATCAGAAGTTCAGGCCCTACTCTACTAACTCAGATGCTGAATTTGAACAAGATTCCCAGGTGATTGTGTGCACATTAAAGTATAAGAAGCACTGCTAGAAGAAATGTAGTTATCAGCTACTTTGCACCAGTGGGTAGTATCACCATGAATAAATAGGACAGCTACTAGTGCAGATTAAAACAGGTGTTGAATTAGCCATTCAAACACAAGTGGTTCTACTGATGATGAAAAATAAGTTTCCGAAATAAACTATTTTCAGTAAAGTTTGAACAAAAATAAAAGTGCAGTCTTATCTCTTTAAATAGTGGTTGCATTCTATAAAATCTACATCTATATTAAAACAAAACTATATTTTGTGTTAAGTCCTGTTTATAAATATCTGACCTTAGTGTCCACCAGAACGTTCCAGAGATATGGGACGTGGGGCAGCATTCTTTCTACACACGAAGAGTGCTTGGCACCCCGGCATCTGTCCAGTAGTGCCCACTATTCATTATAACAACTAAAAGCCAACATTGAGTAAGATTGCCCTGGGATACAAATCTAGTAGTAGATTGCTAGAACACAGTGTAGATTCTACTTCTTCAACTTTAAACTAGCAGTTTTCTCTCCAAAGTGTTTGTTTCCATAATGGATGAGAAAGTCTGTTTTCCCAC